GCAATGTTCTGTATATTTTTTGAACATTCTGGGATATTCATAGAATATCAAAAGCTATGTGGGAAGTTCGCCCGAAAAAAGCCCAATAAAACTAGCTATTGCAGGTGACTGTATGTTGCATCGATGCTGACGACTATACCAAGCTGCCAATAGGCCAGTACGAAGAAGACAACATCCTGCGGGAGTTGAATAAATGCCTTTTGGGTTTCCAGCAGAAGAAAACGAGTTCCAGTGATAGTCTAGATGACCCAAACACGACAAGCTACACATACAGCTACAGGCACAGAAGACTGTCTCCAATTGGAGAATCCATTGGCTCCAACCAGTCGGATGGCAACAACGTTCCATTGATCACTCAGCAATCATGCAGGTGAGCAAAGTGCAGCTTCCCTAGAAATTTGCAAAAAACCTAAATTTTCAGCACCACTAGGACTGACTCGCTTATATCGGAGAACAGCGGCAATAATAATACGACCAACATGCTGAAAGTGCGGCTTCAGGTGGAGAAGAACCCTCAAAGAAAGGGCACAGTAGATGAAAGCGTGGTAAACAACCGAAGAGGCAGATTTATTGTCTTGGGATCCTCAGGCGAGTGCCTGCCAGTCACCAGATACCCCCTAAAGGTCCAAAAAAGCTTGTCGAGCGCCAGTTCCAGCGAAGATGACTTTCACAGTGCCAAAAGTAGCTTAGACGATGGTAGAATGCTACGCTTTGAACTTCTTTGGGCGTTATTTAATACATTCGATTTTCAGGAAGCGAAGACGATAATTACCACAAAAGGTACAGCATAGACCTAGAAACGGCCGAAAGAAGGCACACATTTGCTCAGCGACTGCGAGAGGCTCTGAAGAAGGAAGACGCTGCTGGACACTCAACTAGTTCAAGTGAGGAAGCCAGTTATGCCGTTGGAATTTCTGTTGCTGGGTCAGGAGTGAGAGATTGTGATATAAAGTAAGGTGATAAATTAGAAATTTCTGCTTCAAATGAGCTACGTATTGAAGAGTGAAACGAGGTGGATCAACTGGCTTTGCCCTCAAGGAAGACTCGTTAGGCGAAGAGTTCCTGGAAATTTCCTTAAACAAGGAGAGACAATGGATTGATAGATTCAAAACGAAGCAAACAGCCTTGAGCAAAAAGGAGTCAAACAAGTCGTCGGAATACAGTTTTAGTACAGAATACAGGTAGATGGTGTCTATATAGGTAAAACAGGGCCCACTCGATTGCATTAAGACCGGTTGTAGTTCAGAATTAGAGGAAGTTTACGAGCAGTTCTCCCACTGGCTGGAAAATCCCATTCTAGAGACAGACAAGGGCAACAAAAAGGAACTGGATGCTCGAGACTTGGCAGTGGTGCGATTTGCTGGCTCCCTACTGAAAAGAACGCTTAGCGAATCTTTTGCTGGTTAGACATTTTAATGGTGTGAAGATGCAACTGCTTTTTAAACTCAATGGTTCAAACCAGTAGCGCAATCAGCTCAGAAGTGAGGCAGGTGAATGATCGCGATCGCTTTTAGGTGTTCCTGTGCCACTTACTGAAGCCTGCGACTCCACCTCAGACAACATGATCAATTATAGTACAAAAAAACATAAAATTGTATTAAGCGCCAAATCTCTCAGTTTGGAGCTGGCCAGGCAGAAGCACCGCTTAGCAGCTCAGTTGGTAAGAATCAGTTTAGTCAAAAGCGTTAGGATTTCTCGGCCATTTGAAAAAACTGGTGCGGTTTTCGGGCTTTGCAGTAGATTAGAATTTTGGACTGTTGCATATGTGAAAACCCTGAAAAGCGCATCAGGTTCAAAAAAGTTAGAATAAGCATATTCCTGAAAAGTGTAAATAACTGAAAACGCAGCATACAACTTTGCTAGAGGTCGAATCTGCAACGGATAGTTTAAATTTATGTGATTAGTGAACACTGTGTTTAATATGGGGATATCGAAAATTCAAGTTGATAAAATGGGGAAAAGGCAGCGTTAAAACCTTTGAGGCTTTAACTATTTGATACTTCTTATATTGGACATGGTGTATAATTCTGAAGTAATTAACAAATTATATAAAAAACAGACGATTTCACGTTTTTAACAGAGTTTGGATTGTCGGTCGACTAATCGGAAGAATGAAACGAATGCTTTAGACGAAACTAATCCCATAACCAATAACAGCCGTAAAGCTTGGTTTATCTCTTGCGTTACCGAAGCTATTATCCAAACATTAGAAGATATTGATTTCACGGCCTGTTTACCCTTAGATCAGCAGGTAATGCCCTTGCTAACCCAAGAGTGTTACCTATATACTAATCAAACAACGGCGGATCCAGGGAGGGGGTGATGGGGGTCAAATTTCGCTTTC